TGACTGCTGTAGCTGAACCCAGGACATGTTTTAACTGGATTGATCAGTTAAACACACTACTTCAAAAAACCCCGCATAAACAACACCGTGAAAGTGAATATTGAACAATAGTGTGCTTTACAAGCAACATTTATATTCTAAAAATAGGGAATAAAAGACGCTGGACAGCTTTACCTTTCTGGGGTGACAGAAGTAACTATGAAGTGGGTTTTTCCATCATTGTAATTTCGGTCTGGTGATTGAATTTTGGTCCCACTTGCATTTAAAACCACAGCACCTCTGTCCATAGAGATGGATAATACATCTGACTGAAATGCAGACAAAACCATCGTCGTAAGCAAGCGTAACACAGAAAAATTAACAGTTCTATGCATTTTCCTGTTGTATTTATTTTCTTTCCTGCTCTTTTCCCCATTTGTGCTTTCTTTGCAGAAGGGTCACTGAGAAGCAAAACAGGAGATGATCTCATTAGAATTGATATTCTTGCTGCCTTTTTAAGCCTGAGTTCTGGGAATTCTCCTGCTGATTGTCTCATGTAACTCTCATATGAGCTCTTTCCATCTAGTATGGATGTATGATGTTTACATTGCATTGGTGTTTCTAGTACCACTGGTACTGTATAGAGCAGCTGTTACTGCAAGATTCCCACTGGCATAAGATAAATACATTTTTAACTTTCCAGGATCACCACGGCACATAGCAGGAATACTCTGTTCCATTAAAGTAAGCACTGCCACTATGCACTGGTAGGAATCATCATGTCTCATTATGTCCAGTGCTAAATAGCTGAACTTCCATTTGTTAAGTAGGGCACTTGACACCTCATAGGATTAGAGCTTTTGAGTTAAAATCAGAAGGCCTCATTTATGCAAATGATGTGGATAACTGACATGGTTACTGATTTCAATTTAAGCTAATACTCCAGCCTGTAAAATGTAAAAGTTCAGGAGTGGTTATTGGTGTCATACAGCCTTCCCTGTTACACTGCAAGTGTGGCAGAACAGACATTTGGGGATGGTTGCAAATGTTCTGTCATATGAGCTCATGCTTGCTATAGATGTCAGTCTGGGCCTGCAGGATCTTGGAATCACTCTGGCTCACACAACATTTTGGGAGTGCAAGTCCATACTTCTGTCCACATCACACCTCTCAAGGGGGCATTTAGAGCAGCCTGGCTTCCCATAGCTGCAAGGAAACATTCTTAAGTGCAGCTTTTCCCAGTCTAAGTACCATCTGGGAATACAGGCAGCTTTTTGACTGATTTCTGTCAAGTCAGCAATGCTCAAAATACCATGCCACTAATTCAAACAAATTCTCTTTGCTTCTAGGGGTTTGTCTTTGGATGGAAAACGTCAGGCTCTTAATATTATTTGTACTTTGGTAGCACCTACAGGTCCAAATAGGGATTGCAGTGCTGCTGAGTGCAGCAAGATCCGCTGTGCATTTCTGCCCAAGGACTTTACTGAGCACAAGTGGGTGCATGCTAGTTCTAGTCATATGATCAAATTCTCTTCACAACATCAAAATAGTGTCTAAGCATTGCTAGTTTTCATCTGTAGATCAAATGTGAACTGTGAAAATGAGGTCATCAGTGAATGCTTCTACATTACAAATTGCCTTTTCTATTATGAAACCATGAAGTGAGAAATTGTATTATTCCCTTAGTATTCTCCTGGGAAACAATGCAAGGATAAAATAAAATGTATTGAAAAAAATATATACTCACTCCTTCAGAATAGTAAAACAGCAGTCCATTGGGCTGTAATGTCCGGAAATTAAAGCCTCCTTCAAATTCACTAAAGAGGGACACTTTTTGGCTTGATGCAATGAAGCTCTCTCCATTGAAATATGCTTTGCGGGACATCTGCATATGACATAAAACAAAATTACAAATAAACCTCAGAAAACATTCAAGTTATAAAAAGAATGAATGAGGTTCTTTCTTTTTTTTTTTTTTTTTTTTTTTTTTTAAGATGCAGCCAGTTCAGTTCTATAAAACCTTCAAATTTTCAATTTTTCCTGTGTTTCTTAACCTGATTCATACAGGCTTTCCCTTGCATGCTGTGAAAATCTTAAGAATGTGTAGCCAATTTGATCTCAGTTTCCTGGGATTCTTGGCTTCATCCTAAGTATGCTGATGTTCGTGAGCGTGAAGACTAGGAGCACAGGAGACTCAAGTCCGTGTCTAAGGGGTGTGACACTGAGTCAACATCCCAACATGTGATGCATTAGCGTGTGTGCTGCACGGAGTGCTTGGGTGGGTGGAATGGTTTTGGACATGGTGATCTATAATCCTCTGAGTATCAGGAGTAAAACTGGGTCCGAGGTGGGACAAATTGCAGTTAGCTTCCTCCTTGACAGAGGGTGAGGTTGTATGAAGAGTTCTACAAGTGGTGGGCTTCTACATCTTCACAACATGGCTTTGGATAGACATAGCCGTAAGATAAAGAACACAAACGCTGTTTAGATTTACCAGCTTAGCATTGTAATGGACAAAACATGAATGATGGAAGAGATCAGAAGCCGAATGGCAATTTTCTCAGTGTTAATGCTGGTGCAGTTGGTTTGTGTATCACAGAGGAAGAGCTGGCCTGACTTAAGGGGAGAACTCATTTGAAGGGTGAATATCTCGCTTTTTCATTTCATACATCTGTATTAGGATGCATGTGAGGACATTCTCCTTGTTTCTTTAAGAAAAAGCAAATTATGTTGGAATATTTCCTTTCAGAATACAGCACACAATTTATTCCAGATCCAGCTGCATTCTCACATATGATAAAAATAACAAGTCAAGCACCTCGTGCTGTAATTCAGGGTGAAAATTGGGTAGTATGTCACCAGACCACAGACGCACACACACCCTCCCGGTCAGTGAGTGCCTTATCATTTCCTTGGTTGAAGATTTTCTTTCTATTGTTTGGAGTAAAACTCAAGCTCACAGCTGTGTCCATTGCCAAAATTTTGTTGTTATCTCACATGTGATATTATACTTACCAGTGAATCCTCTGGGCACCCATAGCTGATTCCCAGGGTTCCTGGTTCTTCTAGCAAATTGAAATCCTTCTTTTGGAACTGGAAACCTTTCATGCAGCCTTTAAAGCCAATACTTCCCGCCAAATGTGAGCCGATGCTGTTAGAAAAGAGTGTCAAACAAGTTGCAGTTAGATAGCCCTTGCCTTTCTGAACAGACTTTTATCACCAAGGTGTTCTATAAGACTTAGAAGACCCTCATTAGTGCCCAGTTCCTGCATCTCTGTGATGCAACGAACTAACCACATTATGAGTTTTGAAAAGTTAAGATGCAGCAGTTGTAATAAATGTCCTTCAGAGAGGAGATCCATATAGAGTAACTCAAAAAAAGATAAAAATAGCTGCTGAAATAGAAATTACATTATTTTAGAAAGTATTTCTAGCAACTTTCAGTGAAAATCAATGGAGTTCTAGCTCAATTTTTTATTATTCTAGAAGAGTTCTGGTCTAGTTTTCCTGTCTTGCTTTTATGAGCAAGCTCCATTCTTGCCTTTGGAAGCAAATGGATCTCTATTTCTTAACAAATAATAGTAACAGAGGTCAGAGAAGTGAAAGTATATTCTGCTTGCTGATGAGTGGCTTTATGTAGTTGTAAATAAGAGCAGTGGGTGGGCTTCCAGGCTCCTTTTTATGTCAGGTTTGAGGCAGAGAGTACAGCAGTGTATCCCAGCTGCTCCTACTCACTGCTCTAAGTTTTTCAACTAGGGAACTAATACATAGGAATGAATGTGAAATCTGGAGTTTTGTCATGGCTACCTGTAAACAGTCTTTGTTCTTTTGACAGGATGTGTTTTAGCAGTGGGATTCTTCTCACCTCATGTGAGATGATACTGACAGTGTCAACATCTGCTTCTGTGCTAGTTGTCTGTGAGTTATTTCATTGTAAGGTAGACATTGAAACACACCGGATGAATGAGGCTTTGGAAATGTTTATTTTTTTAAATTGGCAATAATAGACTATCAAGTGAAATGGCGAAAATGTACATATCTGAAATAAGAGAGCGCCTATGAGAGGAAGAGCGCTGAAGGGGCTTAATCTGCTCCTCAGTGGAATCAGCAGGAAGACAAAATAGACAGGAAGGCTTCTGCAATCCTCACTGCGATTTGGATCAAAGTGTGAGATATCAGTCAATGTTTGAGCTCTGATTGATGATGTGATTGGCTGGATGCCACAAATATGCCTTTCTGTTGAATGCCATTAAATTAACAACATTTTCTAGGAGCAACAGGAAGTGTAGAAGATAGGCTTTAACCTAAAGAGAAGCTTCTGAGTTTGTTTCTTAATAGTTCCAAGTGCCTAGTACTCCTAAAAACCCATAGCTTTCTGCTTTATGCAGGTGGGAATAAAATAACATACAGTGGTAATTCCAGATTCATTTACTTGGGAAAAAAATGCAATTGACAGAGGAAGGTGCTGTTGAAATGAATGACAACACACTGCTTTGAAAGAATATGAAACTCTTCCTCTAAGACCAGAACTAGTTTTCCCCCCTGCTGCTGTCCCCAATGTCGGTTAAATGGAAATCTGTCTAGAAAAAGGAAGCTTAAATATCAGAAGTAGATAGTAGTAATAGTAGGGAGATAGTAGTAGATCATTAGTAGATGATATAATTCTAATGCTGACTTAGGCTCCTGATGAAAATGGAGTGATGTCACCACAGTTGGACCATATTTCTTGCTGTCTGTCCTTGTCATGAAAACCAAAGCTGCCTACAGTATCAAAGACAAAGGTGTAGCTCTGCTTAAATAATTTCTGTATATATTTTTCAATATTATAATGGTTCATATTTTTACAATGCCTATGGATTTTTTTCTGGTACAACTCATTTACTGAGGTGCTATTTTTCCTGCTTTGGCAGTGCCTTCCAGGTGTTTTGCAGGATAACCGCACTTCACTCAGAAAATCGTGGACATAATTCCTGTAATTCATCTTGTATCCTACGTTCATGAACAAGTCTCATCTGTCATTGAGCTGCCTAACTGCTTAGATTTCTAGGTCCTTCTGGGCTTTTTCAGTGTTCTCTAGGCTTGATTAACCAAAGTAATTTTTACCGTCCTTTTGTCATTTATTGCTAGATCATTAATGTATTTAATACTAGCCTTAAGAGAGTTCTTTTGGGCACATGAGGTAGACTTTTTATACTGGGAAAATTGAAGAGTTACTCCTACATCTTATTTTCTCTTTCCCAGCTGCTTTCTAATCCACCGCAGCCCTTCCCCTCTCTACACCACTAGTTTTCTTAATTGCTCCTTATGACAGACCTTTGTAAAGAGCTATTTGAAAGGCCAGATAAATTACATAGTCCTTTGCCCTTGCCCACAACTTTATTTGCGTGTTCAAATAATTGCATGCCATTGAAAGGCATCATTTTTCTTTACATGAAGTTTGTCCCTAGCTTAATCTGTAAGTGGTTTATGTCTCAGATGTTATTTATCGATTCAGTAGGCTCTCCTGATAAAAAAATAAGGTTTCAGGAGATCTGCCACTACTAGAAAATTTTGTGCAGTATTTGCTATCTTCCCTTTATTTTTTTACTTAGTATTTTAAAGAGAGATGGTATTGCTGTTAGCAGTTGTCACACTTGAAACAATAGCTGGAGCCCTTATGAAAATGCTGGCCTTGCTATCTAACCTCAGGAATGAATATTGCCTGTCAGAAGAGCATACCCTTCTTCAAGCAGCCAGTGTGCTCTCCCAGAGCATGACCCTGGTCCAGGAGATTCCCACTGCAGGAAATAAGAGTTACACAGTCCAGTGAGATTAAACTTGGCTTCTGTCAAATGGTATGATGGGAAAATGAGACTTTTTCTTTTCTTCCCACACCTACACAGAGCCAGCTGACTTGGGTCAGGAGAGAGCCTGAGGTGGATCAGAACTGAAGTGCATAGTAGGAAAAATACCATCTTTAGATTTGAAAATGCAGTTGGTAGAGGGTTTTCAGCTTGTGCATTGTGATTTTACAAAGATCACTTTTTGCATAGGAAGGAGGAATAGTGATTCTGTATATTCATGTGTTCTTTGAAAATGTCGTTTTGGTTTAAGAAGAGAACAGTCTTTGTTACCCTTACTAAAACTGTGCCAGTTTCAGCAGAATCTACCTGTGCTGGTACTTCAGAGCTCTGAGAGACACTTAGGAGAGTGTATGAGGCCTTGTTTATAGGTGTGGAAGCTGGGAAAAACGTTTTATTGTAAGCCCTTCAGCACAGGTCAGACAACATAACTTAAATATGGTGATTACTTGAAGATAGTGATTACAAACCAACCTGGAGTGCAAGATCTCAGCAGGTGCTCCTCCAATGTAGATGTCTGTGAATGGCATTGCTGTTCTTTCATTGTCCACACTTTTTATATGTCGCCTGTCTACTACCAAGATCATCTTCTTAGAATTATGATATATAATAGAAATCTGAAAAGAAAAACGTGCTTAAAAGTGCCCAAGTTGTCATGGTGATTTTACAAAATTGATTGCATCTTTCTATCTTTTTGTTTGAAAAATTCCTCCCATTTATCAAAAAAGTTGTTTGTAAATCTGGAGAGGCTGACAACAATTACTAGGAGGGAGCTTGTTTTGATATAACAATTTCTCTGATGACTGAAACCCCAAGATATTTCACTTACAAATAAATCCACGTGTAAGTACCCCATATCAAACCCTACAATGCAGCAAACATTAGCTTAAGAGTATTTTCTTGATTTATCCAAGAAGTTAGGGAATACTTCTTAAAAACTTTTTTCATTGTCAGATCAGAAAAGGCTTAATTGTGTACTGCTAAAATGTGTTGAACAGAACTGTAGCTGTCATTGTGGATCAGGAATCAGACTTTGAATTTTCACCAAGTAAATGGCATGAGAAGCAAGACACTGAGGGGGATTTGCTACTGTCACTGTCAGTTACACATATTTATATGTATGTATTTATTACATACATATTTAAAAGACTGCTATCAAATTAATTTTCCCTTCACATGAAATGGAAAATGAAGTATTTCTTATAATACAATACATAATAACTAAGAAGGGCAAGTTAACATAATGACGTGTTTTGAGTTGAGGAGAGTTGTATATTTGAAGGGTATAGTTGTCCTGGATATAATTTCATTTTGAATTAATAATGCTTTTTCTCCCATGTGAATTGCCCTGTCCTTGGCTAGTGAGATGAGTGATTTACCAGGAGGCAGGGAAAGCCTTCCCTTTCCACCACTTAGTAGTGGTGGGACTTGCATATGCTCGTTCACATGTAAGGCAGGCATGTTCTCTACTCTTCTGCCTGCTCTACTGCGTCACCACCTGGCCCCTCATACTTTTCTCCTTTCGTTTGTATTGGAGAAAATTATTGCTGCTTGTTGGAGCAAATTATTGCTGCTTTGGAACTGCTGTGATAGTTGGTCAAATGGCTGTGATTTTAACCACATACCTACCTCATGAAATTTAGCGTCGTTAATCTGAGCCTTCTTCATGGAGTCCTCTAGTAGCACAGGACCAGTGCTGAAACCAAAGTCATAGCGGAGGTACAAAAAACCGTTGTGCATCTCTAGACTGAAGAACATACTCTGCGTAAAACAAAACAGCAGTCAGAAAAGCACTGTGATTGTGACAGTAATAAAAAACCCCAAAAAACAGTGTTATGAGAGTGTCTGTCATTGTGAAAAGCATGCTGGGAAGAGGTCTTTTCATTTGCAATAGTATAGCACAGTTTCTGGATTGTGTTGTTGTATATAATGTGTGTACACATACATGTGCACACATAATTGTTTGATAAACAGTACTTATTTGAAGACATAGTGAACTGTTTTCCTGTAGAAATAGTATTTGGTATTACAGTAATATCAATATTCTTTACCAGCAAAGTATTCCTAAAGGAAGCACATCTATTTACTGTCTTAGTAATAACACACGCCCCACATGAAAGATGCTATACTGGTAAAAGTGATTTTGTGCTAGGATGGCTGTATCTGCATTAGCAGCTTCTGTCAGGATGCCTGTAATAGCTCAAGATTGTATCTTCTCACAGCCCTGATCAGCAACGATCTATTTGCTGAAGGCTGAGAAATAGATAGAGTATATTTACTGTGTATTTGGTTTCTGGATTTCCTGACTGTTCCTGCTTCATAGATTGGCTTCTGTTTTGTGGCTGGGTGACTTAAACTTTATAAACAGGAGCTCTACTTCAGAAAATCTTTAGGGAATGCTTGAAATGAAGATCTGTACCATAGAATTACCCTTGTTCCAAAACTGAACATAAAGAAGCAGAAAGGACAGTTTACAGCAACTGTGCATCTGGGTTAATGCTTTTAATGGTAATGTTTGTCTTCTCTCCTAGTGTTCGTGCTCTTGTTCCCATGCCTAATGGAACAATAATTCTCAAAAAACTACTGCAGGCCAAGTACTGCTGTCTCTGACATGGAGGAGTCCACCTTCAGAAGTCATTACTTAAAGTAGCAAAAGTAGGTTTTAATCTAGTGCTTTAAAATGAAACTGACTTGGGTTTGTTTTGCACAGTTTAAAAATGAAACAGGGATTACATCCAGAATATTTATGAGCTGCCTTTGCAGAACGGAATAATGGACTAGCTTACACAGTCTTTCTAAAAGTGCCTGTGAGCAGGCATGGTCTTCCACAGCTAACATCCAACTAGCTTGCAGTTTCAACTGTAACACACATATATCTGCGGTGTGCATAGAATCATAGAATGGTTTGGGTTGGAAAGGACCTTAAGATCATCTAGTTCCAACCCCCCTGCCAAGAGCAGGGACACCACACACTAAACTATGTTGCCCAAGGCTCTGTCCAACCTGGCCTTGAACACCGCCAGGGTTGGAGCATTCACAACTTCCTTGGGCAACCCATTCCAGTGCCTCACCACCCTCCCTGTGAAGAACTTCTTCCTTGTATGTAATCTAACCTCCCCCTTTTTAAGTTTAGAGCCATTCCCCCTTGTCCTACCACTACAGTCCCTAGCGAAGAGTCCCTCCCCAGCACCCTTGTAGGCATCTATATAGTAAAATGTTTTCTGTGGCTTTACAAAGTTGTAATCCATACAGGGCTTGGGAGCTTGATGTGAAGATGCCCAAAGACAAAAAAAATCCAAGTTTGTCTTCAGAGGATATTTATTTGCATGTGGAGTCTACTTTGTTCAAACCCTTGCAGAGTTTGAAACACCCTCAGACTTCTGAAAAGCTGGTGATACTTGCATCAAGCCTTTTTATTTGGACTACCTTCTATTTTCAGTAATTTAAGTATTTAACTGTAGTATACCCTGAGACATTGTTATAAAGTGGCAGCTACACAAAGTGCATGCTTAATGGGAGTTACTTTGCAGAAATCTCCTATTGTTTTGACTGTGCATTCACATTTAAATAAAGGAGCAACTACTGGGCTTAACTGGAGTCTGTCTCAAAGCATCACCACAAGGGCATGACCTGCCTGAAATCCTGACTGTCTTTGGATGAGAGCAGAGTCCAGCTCAGGGCCTCAGCTTCCTTGGGCCTTTGCAGATGAAGTCCAGTTCCCTCCTAATGTACACCAGATGAACACAAAGTATTTCTTCTTTCCAGAAGTTAAATGTCAGGACGTAAGCATTTTGTATTTTCCATGATATTCTAAGTACTGGGCAACATGTAGTTCTCATAGATAAAGGGTACCAGAAGGATTTGGTACTCACCCCATTAATCATCAGCAGGATCAATCCATTGTCTGTAGGTGTTCGAACTTCTATGTCAAACCGAGTCACCTGGCTGAATCTTCCCCTTCTCTCAATGTTTCTTGCCAAGGCATAGCCAGAGCCGTCAAAGAAATAGCTCACAGCCCGGCTCTGGGTGAAAGCCAACTTATTTCTATGAAAAAACAAGCAGGGAAGTAGTATTTGGCATATCCTCATTTAAATTTGTAGAAATCTGAAGGCCTTTAATTTTTCTGAACTGCTGCTTCTTCCTAGCAGCAGTGACACCAATTATTTTCTTTCAGATTCTTTCTGGGATTTTTTTCTGAAAACTAGCATGTAGCTTTGAAGGTGTATCTAACTCCATCATCATGTTGTGCTTCTGTCCTGTGTTATATGTAGAGGACAGGTAAATTCTTTGCTCATCCTTGTCATGCAGGTGCACGACACCTCCTCATTATGAAGATACGCATATTTCCATTAAGAGCTTGCCCAATTTGTGCAGAAACCCATTTGAATTCTCTGAGGCCTTCAGCTGAATGTGGGCTCTGCTGCATGCACTGTCCTGGAGAGCTGCAGCTTGTGCTTCCTGAGAGAGTGGTATGGGAATCAGTCATTTGCTCTGTCCCAACACCTCCTGTATTTCTTCCCAGTGAGAGCTGCAAGATTGTCTTCTGTTATTTGCATAGAAAGATTCTACTGGTTTTGCCTGTTGTACGAACAAAATGCCTCCGTGTCTGTACTACATGAACAACGTGGTGGTTGTTCACGTGTATTTCAGGGGCTGCATTTCCCAGTTTGTCAGTGGTTTATCTGACAAATTTGTGTGGTGGGTTTAAGAGTATATGGCAGAAAGGTAACTTCTGTACAGGCTTTGCTAGCTGGGGGTGGGACTGCACTCAAGTTTACTGGGTGCACTGGAGCTAACTGGTTGAGGCTGCATCACTGGCAGTGACAGGATTCGAGTTGGGAGCAGTCTTGTCCTAGGCCAGCAGTGGGGATAAGGAGGGAGCCTAGATCATGCCCTGGCTAACATGGCAGTTTCCCTTTTGAAGATGTGAGCAAGGCTGTGAGATAGTGATGAAGACAACAGTGAATCATAGAAATCTCAAGTTAGAATATCTTGATGATCCCATAAAGATCGTCGAATCCAACTTGCATATATATATTCGGCTTGTTGACACAACTAGGAGTTAAAAGTGGCCAAATTCCTTCTGGACAACTCAATATCACCTTAAGGTTTGTAATCTAAGCCAGGAATGAACCACCAGTAGTGACGCTTGAAACTAACCAGAGGAGCAGTGACGGTGTGACTGTTCCCTACCTGGCACAAGGTGGCGATGTGGTGGTGTCGATGTTATAGACGTGCTTGAAGTTGTATAGGCTGATCACATCATCGTTCAGGGTAGCCAGTTCTAGGCAGCCGATGAAGCCAGGTAAGTTTAAGCTAGGAGGGAGCTGTGCAGAGGGAAACGAAAAGTAAAAGGAGAAAGGTCACACGCTTTATTTAGATATCACAAAATTAGTTGTGCCTGGGGTCAGTTTTGTCTCTGCTCTTCATATTTGAAACAAATGGGATGATGCTACCTTGGAATGATATGGCCATTGTCCTGTAAATTAAATAGAGCACATAAATGGTCTCACAGTGAGAACAATCAGTCAGGTAAGGCAACTGCAAACAAAAACTTCTTTTCATAATTTTAAAGCGAGAACACTTGGAAAAGGGTTAAAGGGTTAAGATTTGACTAATCACAGGTCTTGCTCAGTGTATTTGAATCTTCCGGTAGATATTTCATGTCTAATGTGTAGACATCCTTCACTGACACAAAAATAATTTCATACCGTGGTGAAAGAGAGAGAAATGAGAGAGATCTTCAAGCGCAGAAGACTTGGATTCAAAGTCTGTACCCGTGGCTAATTCTCAATAGATATTGTTTTGAATAGTTAGCAGGATATAGAAACTGCTTTTAACAAAGATCACTGCAAATGGAATTTAAATAGACACATTGGTGAGGGGAAAAATACAAAAGAATAAAGCTGACAGAGCTTGTGAATCATTCTTTTAAGATACTCTGCCCAGTACACCTCTGAAGTACAAGAGATGTGATATTAATAATACCTCTTGTACTTCAGAGTCTGATCATGGCCAGTAACTTTTCTTCAGCTTCTCATTATTTCTATTTTGCTTTCCATATAATAATAATAATGGTACTAAAGCAATGCAGAACATGTATAGCTATAAGAGAAAATGAGATCCCATCTGCAGCACAGATGTATTTGGTAAATGATCATTTTTCCTTTTTTTTCTTTTATTTCTTCTACTATTCTCTTAAATTAAGTATGAGACTTGTAATGGGTAAGTGGTACATTTCTTATTTACAAAGTATGTAACAGGGAAGCAAAGGCAAAAGCTTTTAGCAAATAAGACTGTATGTTAATAAATGAAAATGCGAGGTGTCTATTCTTAAGGGAGAAGAGACCTATATGCTTATGAAACAATTCCATGAATCCTTTTCTTCCCATTCCTGTACCAATTTTACTTCACTTTTTATATTTCTCTTTTCCTCTGCCTTGCTCTGGGACACACCTGAAGGGTTCATTTGACAGATTACTTCATTTGTGTGTATGTGCAACTCTTATTCAGTCCTCAGTCCTTTTCCCAGGCAATTTACACCCAGGGCCCAGTAATCTAAAATTCAGACCATGGCATATATCTGGTAGTCACAGTAATAGCTCAAGAATATGTATGCGTATTGAGTTATTCTTCGGTTTAATGTTGTTAGGAGGGCTGCTTGTGGAACAGTAGTTGGATGTTTTTAGCACCTACTAGTTAGCTTAAAGAATTTAATATTTAAAGTCTTTTTAAGTATGTTTTCATTCAGCCATGCAGTTTTCATAGCCAAGGTTGTTCATAACAGTTTCTAAATCCAAAAAGAGGACCTGGTACGTTCACAGAAGCATGTAAGTGAGGTGCTAATTCATGCTGACTATTAGGAACTAGAATGAAGCAATTGTCTTTGTATTTTTTACAAAGGCAAGTCTTCATGATATTATAAGGCTGGATTTAAACCAATGATAATTTAAATTCAAACAAATCACTATGTTGGTAGTTTACCACTGTCCTAAGTATTAACAATATATTACTTTTTATTTTTGTGACAGCTGTAAAAGGGAAATTGTAAGCACTGAGGACTCATCAGCATTGAAAAAGCCTGGTAGCCTGCAAATTTTTTTAAGCTGGACTTATAGCCCTTAATTTAGGCATACCGCTTAAGAGCTAGCAAGCTTTTTTCTTACTACATTTCAGAAAACTTGAATGACAGCTAAAAGGAATCTGATCATCTATGTATGATCATGATCTATGATCACATGATCATAGAGAAAATGGTAGTTTTCACAATGGCTAGAAGATGAAATCCTAAGATGATAAGTGACTAAATAACATTTTATTTATTAACCATTTCTGTGTGCCTAGCCCAGCAAGATAAGTTTGCATTATGTAATTTTGAATATAGAGTATTTTTCTGACCAACCTTGAAGTCTGTAGGCACTCCACCAACATAGAAAACAGCATTTTCAGGTTCCAAATTAAGGAGAGAGCCAGGACCAAGAACCTCTCCCTTTTTGATGAATTTTTCTTCAGCTGTGCTGCTAAGACTGGGCACAGTTAAAAACATTTTGCCATGTCTTCCAATCCTGTAGAATGAAATTGCAAGGGAAGAGAGTTTCATGTTGGTTAGACTTAAAAAAGAAGAAGCAAGCCTGCAACTCCAGGAAGGGTTTTCATTTCCTTACTAGAAAATTGGTACTCTGGAGGAAAAGGAAAAGAGAAACCACAGACACTTTCTCTTCCCCGCTGTAATCCCTTGGGTCCTGGCTCTCTAAAAGCAAATAGAATTTCCATTTATTCCAGCAGGAGTAGAACCAAGCACTGAAGACTCCTGATGTGCAGTTCTGATCCAGCCTCTTCTGTTGTATTTTTTTTTCCTATCAACTGTTTGATTTTGGGGAATCACTTTACCTCTCAATTTTGATGATGCTGAAGTAAGAAGGCCATGTGCTGACTGGCTTGGCATCCAGAGGTATCTCCACATCTTCGTCTCCCAGATTATAAATGTACACAAGGTTGTCATTTTTAATTGCAAGACCAATGTAAGTTTTTGCCTAAAACACCAATGGAGAAGGATGTCAACATTGGAAGAGATTTAATGCAGAACATTAGTAACGGTTGTCCTTTAGTAGGCAAAATGACATCTTTAAATGTAACTAATAAACAAAAGTTCATTCTCTAAATGCTTTCTTTCACCAGATAAAACTGTACAGCGAATGTCTCTATATTTTACTTTATACCCATTTTGGCTGAGGTAAATACAAGATCATGAGACTGTAAATTGGTCATGTTAAATGGGAAGCTCTTCATCAGTATTTAGTGTGCAGTGTCATATGCAGGAAATAAGAAGAAACATTTGTCTAAAGCCTAGGTATTATGCTGCAATTAAATATTTTGCCAAGAGGGGTTTCACTTGATTTGCATTCAGTAGACACTCCTTTTAGAAAAGCTTAAAAAGAAAAGCCTGCCTCTTTACCCTTCCTAACAGCTTGACAGAATTATACGTTGCTTCTGAGGTGTAATTTTTTGTTTCTTTTAAGAACCACAATTTAAAGAACAATTATTTCACAATGCTTACAGGTGGTGAGAGCACATACCTTTTGTAAGTGTTTCAAAGTAGTGATGTACCGAGTTTAGAACAGTAATAAAAGCCACAGGCACAGAAACCTGCTTATCTGTGACCTCAGAGGTTTGGAATTGACACTGTCAGCAGCATAAACCTGATTGAAGCCTGGCCCATGAAAGTCGGGTGGGCTGCTTTAGAGCTCTTTATTACTGGCAGTGGAGATAGCAGGTGTGGCTCACAACAGTGACAATCACACCAGCACTCTACATAGGCAGTCTAATTTGCTTCTTGGAGAGAATCCTTCATTGTTTGGGGTGAGAAGTTTCAAGGACAGTGGTCTCAGGAACCCTTGCTCTTTGCTTGTCACGAAATCAGTGACAGGCATATACTAGACACCTCTTATTTTGAAACATGGAGAAAAAGTGAGAAGAAAAACCAAAGGCAAATGAACTTAAAACCTATTTAAATTTCCTTTTTCATATATATAGATATAAATTAGCTGAGTTATTCTCTTACATTTTTGTTTCCAAGGTACAAAATAAATCTGTCTGGAGATGTTGCCAGTTCTGGGTTGTCTTTCTGAAACTTTATGTACAAGCTCATGGAAGTGAAAGATTTCAGCTCCTCCACGTTGATCTTTGGATTAACTTCAACAGCTGATTGGCCTCCAAACATCATAGAAACTTGGACCTGCAGTTACAAGGGTGCTAACTGAGACACATTATTGCTGCCTGGGAACATTACTTAAGGTAAACGTGCAAGAATACTTAGCCAGCAGCCTTGCTTACAGCAAGAATGGAGTTGGCACCTTTATATTTGCCATGCAGAGTTGTATGTTTATAACAATCACTTCTGGAAGACACGGTAAAGAACATGAAAGGAATTAATTTTAAAATTAATTAAAGCTCCTAATTAACTGTGCCTAAGCATATTCATAAAGTAAATTAAATTTCAATAGGACATAGATGTGTGCCTAGTTGAATTAGGGCTACATCATTATGTATGGCACATAATGAAATTCTTAAATAGCTATAAAACTTCTACCCATAATTTATTTCTTTGCTTTGGCAGTAGTATGACCAATTTTCTGTTCAAAAGTAATCATAGAATCATAGAATGGTTTGGGTTGGAAAAGACCTTAAGATCATCTAGTTCCAACCCCCCTGCCATGAGCAGGGACACCACACACTAAACTATGTTGCCCAAGGCTCTGTCCAACCTGGCCTTGAACACCTCCAGGGTTGGAGCATTCACAGCTTCCTTGGGCAACCCATTCCAGTGCCTCCCTACCCTCACTGTGAAGAACTTCTTCCTTATATGTAATCTAAACTTCCCTTGTTTAAGTTTAAAGCCATTACCCCGTGTCCTACCACTAGAGTCCCTAATGAAGAGTCCCTCCCCAGCATCCTTGTAGGCCCCCTTCAGGTATTGGAAGGCTGCTATGAGGTCTCCACGCAGCCTTCCCTTCTCCAGGCTGAACAGCCCCACTTTTCTCAGGCTGTCTTCATATGGGAGGTGCTCCAGCCCCCTTATCATCCTTGTGGCCCTCCTCTGGACTTGCTCCAACAACTTCATTTCCTCTTTATGTTGAGGACCCCAGAACTGGACACAATACTCCAAGTGAGGTCTCACAAGAGCAGAGTAGAGGGGCAGGATCACCTCCTTTGACCTGCTGGTCATGCTTCTTTTGATGCAGCCCAGGATATGGTTGGCTTTCTGTTATATTACTTACATTACAGTGATATATGTGAATTGCTAATATAATTTTAAAACATGCTCATTTTAGTTCAAAATGCCTTCAACATAACTGAAATGTTCTCAAGTTTAAGCACAATATGCCTGAATGACAAAATACATTTAAAGAACAGTCAAGCACTGCACACATACTGATTTTTCCTTTTTTGAAGTAATGTGTGTAGACAGCATATTCTAGCATTGTGAGCATACACTAATGCACTAAATTTTTTATTTCTTTGAATGAATTCAAATATAATGTTTTAATTTTTGACCTTGGTGTTCTTGCTACAGAAAAATCAGTCATAATTTATGTATGATAATGGAAGTGTGTGAGCCAAAGATTTGCTTACCCTGCAGAAAATTAATTCAAAAGAATAAAAGAGAAATACTGTCATCTCAGAGAAGTTTGCATTAAATTGCCATAATTACTACTGCTTATAACTAATGCTGCTTGCTGAATAATGACCTATTAGTTTTAGATTTAAATGGTTTTGTTATTGCGACCATCTTTAATGCTGTGCCAATTACTTAATTAAAGTTTCTACTGCAGTAGCAGTAGTCTACCACGAATACTATGGCAATGTTAATAGCTTGCAAATAGCAACTGTAAAGATTTTAATGACTTCCCCATAGTACTTTTTTTACCCAGTTGTTGGGAGGTGACAATGTCAAGGTTTGGGCTTCTAAGATAGAGCAAGAAAATGAGAAAATGGAGTAAGATGCATTTGATATTAACACTAGTAACTAGAAGCCACATCAAAAAAACAGTTTTACCTTGCTTGCTACGCTCCTGGTCTGAGCAATTAACTCTCTGATTCGCTGAATGCTGGAAGAAATATTGTTTGCTGGTGCCTTCTGTTCTACTCTGCGCAGTTTGTCCAGGAGTTCAGGGAACACTTCTGTAAGTTTCTTCACTGCAGTTAGAAAAGAAGTGACAGCTTGTTTTTTTTAACTCTCTGTAACATTGGTTTTACACCAGGAAAATTACTCTTTAGCCTTTTAGGTTAACTCACCTGTTTCATTCTACTTTAAGTACAAGTCCTAACTGTAGTATGTGAGAGGCAGTGATTTCAGAAAGGGTAGTGATTTATCAGAATGTAGCATTGCAAAAGTTTTTGGCAAGAAGATTGCACAAAGGAGAATACTTTTTCATGGGCTTCCTAGGTACTACTGTGGTGTTGTACCTCTCTAATACTTTGCTCAAGGTGCTTTGCAAATGTTAATCATTTTAACCCTTTCATCTTCCTTCAAGGCAAATAAATTCTAAACCCAATTTTACAGATATGGCAACTGGAGTGAAAGATTATTTGTTCAGTATCTCACTGGTTATCTGTGTCTGACCTGGGAACTATATGTAGCATCTATGGTTCATGAGCTCTTCAAATTCAGCTTAGGGGAGATGTATAGGTTGTTTCCCTTAGCTCTCAGATGTGCATCTCTCCTAAAGGTTATCACCCAGATAGCAGCAGCAGCTGCACAGGTGATATGTCTGTGTGTGTGATTCACAACCCACTCTGCTAATAGAAACACCACTGCTTTCAGACTGTGGTAACAGGCCTGTACTGTACAACGGTAGAAAGCCTTAGCTGATGGTGTATGTGCAGCTAAACTGTGCTTACTACCTGCTCCAGCCCTTGTGAGTGGTAACCTCTTCAGCTTTCCTACCTACAGCTGCCAGGGGTCATGAATCAGAGCCCTGGACCTTCAGTTTCACTACTGGCTTCTGGTACATGTGCAAGTAGGACTGTTACCAAAGGGAAATGCAGGTGCTTCTTTGTGTTCAAAGGGAGAGAAGTCCTTTCCCAGAAAGATAAGCAGACAGAAAAATTACCAAGAAAGGAACATAACTACCCCTAATTATAATCTGATTTCATCACGTCAGATTCCAATGACATTGTTCCCTTTGAAGGATATATACATGTCACATCATTTTTCATCTCTGATTAGATGTAGGTACAATTAGCTGAGTATAATAAAACGCGATTTTAGCCACAAGGTACATGCATGTAAGAAAGATCCAGTATTCATTGTTAATTTTTAACGGCACGGATTCACTATAAAGGTTAAAACTGATTTGTAGGGTTTGCAGTTATGTTTTAGAGTTTTCAACTTGCATGCACTTGCTTTTGTGTTCTTCCTCTCATGTTTTTACTCTTGTCTGAGAAGATAGCAGAGAGAGGCAGAGGAGCAAATCCTCAGATGTATAAAGAGTAACCTCCAATTAATATTCCGTGCTTTTAGCTCTGTTGAATAAAAACTGAAGTGGCTCTTAGCCTCATTCAGAGTGACCCAGAGTATGAGAAGATTCTGCAGAGTCCTACAAGTCTTACTTCTCTTTGGATAGAGTGTAAAGCTATATTTGCCACAGTCCTGCCCTCTCTCTGCCTAGTTCTTTTTGCTTGTGTTTTCCTTTCCAAGACCAGTGTAGGAGTAAGCCATATAGATTTTTAGACTCTCCAGTTATTCCCCTTTATTCCTGACAGACCTTATGTGCTGGGGCTCAGTAATCAGATATTCTATATAAAGCTGACTGTACTTTAAAATGCCATTACTTTAGCAAATCCTCAAAGAACGACAATAAATTCTGGGTAACACATTAATTCCAGAATGCATTAAAATTCATACTTAAAAAATAACAAGTGTAATAGTCAACTTTGCCTTTTCAAGTGAATGTTCTGTTGCATTGGAAGAAAGCCCACATTACTCTTAAAGTAAAAAAATTGCAAGCTCAGCAAATGATATAGCAAATTTCAGCCTCCTTTATTTTTTTAATAATCAGCAACTGAACTGGTATTGTATCTGATGTGATACCTTGAAAAACTGTTTTTTCATCTTTTTGGAATTTGAGGTGTTAAACCTGAAATACAGCTGTAGCTTGAAACCACAAAACTAACATCTATTACTACTAGTATTACAAAATCTCACCAAAGTCTCTTCCTCTTGTCCTTTAAAATGGCATTCTTCAACACAGAAGAATATTGATCTTTTATTTTAGTTTTTGGGATGAAGGTAAGAGCGAAAAAGGAAAACTAGTCTTAACCAGTTATAAAATACAAAAAGAACACAAGGGAAACTACCCAGGAGGAAATACCTTGACTATAAACTTCCAGACACTTTCTCCTTGTTTTCCTTCCTAAACTGTCCTTCATCCTCCTTCCTGAAGCCCACCATGGTGATAAAAGAGTATTCTCAGACAAACCGCATAGCCAAGGCATGCTCTCACCCTCCCAAAACTCAAGTGCAAGCTTTATTCAAAGGCAATCCAGACATGCCATCTTGGAGGCTTCACTTGCCATGGTTAGTGTTATTGGCATGATAATCAGGTGTTTTAGTGTTTCAGGCACCTGTCTGAACATTTTTTGTGACTTTCTT